CCCCAAAACCCCAAAACCCCAAAACCCCAAAACCCCTAATATTTCATCCAGTTGATTCCTTAAATTATTCATTTCTGAATTGTGAGGGGAAGAGTTTGTTTTCATCATAATCATCCATGTCTTGGGGACCTGGGTTGTTACCAAGCTTCTTGAGTATACCTCCGAAACCTGAGTCCTTCTTGTTCTGGATCATCTCTCTTCTGGTTTCTTGGACTTCTTGATATTTTAAGTATCCCCTGTCTTTTCCGTATTTCTTTATTTCAGTTTTAACATCGACATTGTGGCCAGATAAGTGGCTTAGGAAGGGAATGAGGTCTAGAAGCTCTCTGTCAAGGTTGTCTCCATCCCACTCTGGAACTTTAATGACGTTGTCTTGGTGATAATAGAACTTTTCAGGATCAAAGTCAATGCAGACTATGTTCTTCGTGTCTCTGTTCATGTATGAGAGATCCTTGATGTATCTTCCATCCTTTAAGAGCGTAGACTCGTGCCCAAAAGCTCCTTGGAGCATTCTTTGGTCAGGGTCAAGGGCAATTCCGATCTCTTGGACTAGAGAAGACTCTTCATCACCAAAGAGCACAACTTCGTACATTGAAGCTGCTTTTTGCAGGAAGGTGTTGAGGCCAGGTCTCTTTTTATACTCAAACCCAAGCCCTAGCTTGTATTCAGATTTCACGCTCACGCCTCTAAGTCCGATTATCAAAGTCTTTGGATATATAGCGCCTGGGGGAAGTGGAGGAATTGTTGGTAACAACTTATCAATCGGTGGTCTTGTTAGTAGCTTATTAATCTCATTTCAGTGCCACTGAGCTCTGAAAGCATGTCTTAAGAACAAATCTATTCATCCGAATGATTCTTCTGGCTTATCCTTCTTCCTGACAAGATAGAAATGGTAGGAGAATAGCACGATGTATGCCCAAATAGAATATTTAATTGCTTTTCCTAGTGCAAAAAAGATCTTCCTGCTAGTGGAGAAATTAGCATGTGAATTGCCGTCTTTAGACTCATCATGATGAAATTCCTGGTGTTCCTCTTCCTCAAACTGCTCTTTCTGTCCTTTCTGCTGATTCTCTTGCTTTTCAGATTTGGTAGTATCCGATCCTGGTTTAGTTTGCTTAGTCGAGAAGGTCCGATAATTATTGCTAACATATTGGTTAGTAAAGAACAAATTCTGGCTAAATTTAGGGGTGCTAGTCGAAGCAGTCCTTCTCAAGCTGAGGAGAACTTGCGATCTTTGCAGCAGCACTCTGTTGAGCATCTTTAGTTTTAAATTATAATTTAATTTCCATCGAACACAGTACTTAAGGGGTTTTGGGGTTTTGGGGTTTTGGGGTTTTGGGG